AGGATGACAGGACTGGTGATGGAGGGGGCGGAGCCAACATGCTTGTTTCCTCCTTCTCCCTCACATCAATTGTGTGGAGAAATTGACCAGCCACATAGTACTACAGATCACTAAACATCCAATGTCCTGCTCCCTCCACAAACCACTCAGCTGAAAGGAGCAGAGGGGGTGGGAAACAGGTTAATGTAACAATAATACTGTGGGTGTAAACAAGCTTATTTATATTCTCACATCAGCTCTTAAAATTTCAGGTTTTAATCCTTCTCTAAAAGAGAGCAATCTATCCTAAGAGGTACTGATAAGAAAATATATATAGAAAAATGTATATAGTGTATTTACAACACCTCATTTAGCAAACCACATCCATTAATAATGTCAACTGCCACAAAGGGGCTGCCTTACGATGAAAATGGTAAAGATTATGTACTGTTTTTTTTGGGGGGGGGTTAAAGTGTCTTTTTATCATCTGCTTCCCTTGATGCAGATTGTTCACTCAAAATCCAAAAAAAATGCTATTTACACTTTCTAAGGTTGTCTTTTGTATCCTATGCCATAACTAGGGAACTGCTGTAGTCCTCCTTGATGAAATGTCATTTAAAATCTGTTTCGGGACCAATTAATGGTTTTTTGTACACCTATATTCCTTATGGTAATAATGAACAGAATGCAGTCATCAAAATTAGGTTCTTCATTCTTCAGCAGGATTAAAGGCTTAGTTGAATGACTAATGTAGTACTGACTTCATAAGGGTAATGGCTACAATGCACAATCATTGCTAACAGAGGCTCTACAGAACCCCATGGGGTAGAACTATTTTGAATTCTTTCATACAACTTTCTACGTGCATTTCTCAGACTGAAACCTGAATAACCACTTTAAAAGGTACTAGAAAAAGCTCTGCTCTTGAAAGAAGCAAAGGATGCTTCATACCAGATGAAAGGGAGATAGTATGGCCGCCACATGTCCCATCACAAATACTATGACATTTGAAGGGGAGTTAAGTATTTGCCTGTGGCATGTTTGCCACTTGTGAGTACAGTGGTACCACAGGTTAAGTACTTAATTCGTTCCAGAGGTCCGTACTTAACCTGAAACTGTTCTTAACCTGAAGCACCACTTTAGCTAATGGGGCCTTCTGCTGCTGCCGCACCGCTGGAGCACGATTTCTGTTCTCATCCTGAAGCAAAGTTCTTAACCTGAAGCACTATTTCTGGGTTAGCGGAGTCTGTAACCTGGAACGTATGTAATCTGAAGCGTATGTAACCCGAGGTACCACTGTAGTCAGAATCCCATTCCACACTGGTAACATTTGAATCCAGGAACACTGTAGCTCAGATGAATTACCGTATTTTTTGCTCTATAAGACTCACTTTTTCCCTCCTAAAAAGTAAGGGGAAATATGTGTGCGTCTTATGGAGTGAATGCAGGCTGCACAGCTATCTCAGAAGCCAGAACAGCAAGAGGGATTGCTGCTTTCGGTGCACAGCAATCCCTCTTGCTATTCTGGCTTCTGAGATTCAGAATATTTTTTTTCTTGTTTTCCTCCTCCAAAAACTAGGTGCGTCATTTCTTTACACTGCAGTCATGGGGGAACCCGTCACCCAATGTTAAATAAAAACACCAAACACATCCCATCTTTATATCCTGTTCTATTCACCATTCTTCACATTTCTAAATCAATATTTCTTAGCACAGCACAAGTTCAACCAAGAATCAGTTAAAGCATCCCCCTTCCACTCCCATTCCTCAACAGTACTGCTCAGCGATACAAGAGACAACTCCACACTCCCAACTGCACCCAGCCAACAATGAGTTTCTCCTTGTTAAGGAAAAGCAAGTTTAATAACTACTAGAGACTGAAATGTTTCTAAAGTGCTGCAGTCAAACCTAGAAAACTAAGGCACCACAAACACACATACAAACAGCGCCTAAGAAATTACAATTGCTGATTAATAAGCAGCTATATAAGTAGCAAAACCAAATAGATTAATTGCAATGCTATCATTCCTGACTTCTTCCAGCTGTTGAAATATTCTTGCTAGTTATCTAGCTCTAAATTTTTTTAATTATGCAAGGGAACTGCAACTCTTTCTAACGTAAGATTAACCTTGGCCATCTTTTTTCACTGTGATTCCCATGGGTTGTATATGTAGTACTGCATGTTATACTTCAGGCTTACTTAAGAAGATTTTTGAGATTTGTATCAAACTGTCTATGTATTTAGTGCTAGAAGCTTTCTTTCGGTAGGGATTCTGATTGTAAGACTGTCTCGGGTTTTCACATTCAAATTTAAGCTGCATAACTAACTTGTGAGAGGTGTTACAACTCCTGAAGGGAGCTGGGTTCTTGTTAGCATTTCACACAATATTATCAGCATACATCCAGAATCTTTTGCAGCCTGCAGCCTTCTGGGACCTAATGAAATGTCTAGCTTTCACACAGCAGATGCCAAGAATTTGATACAGAAGAACCAACAGTCCATTTCTAGGAATAACCTGTCACATTAACACTACCAAGCTTTATTGCACTCAGCAGGGCATGGTGGAGAGATAGACTGTACTCCTTCAGAGTCAACAGCAGACAGAACTTCCTCTTCTCACACTGATTTAGTGCATGAACACCTGAAATTAAGTCTGCTGGCAGATGTGCAAGCTGAGGTGCAGAGAAAGTATATGCATCTTCCCACAGAAAAAAACGCTTGGGCTCAGATTCATGTGTTCTAAATAAGCATGCAACTTGCTTGTGCTTCTTCTTTGGGCTCATCTTTAAAAATATGCTACATGTAATACACACACACACACACACACACACACCTTTTTAATGCCCTCCCCATCACACCCTTCAAATGTCACCAACATTCTTCCGTACTTTTGTCACAACTTTGGCTCCCCCTTGATGCAGGCCATGTTTTACAGATAAGCCCTCTTTCCGCTTGTTTAGAATGGCTGATCCCACTCTAGGGATTATTTACCGAAGCTGCTCTGTCAGACCATTCTATTGCCATAATTTAGCCAAGCACTGGAATGCTGCTACTCTCCTTCAGCTTCCTACCAGCCGACAGGAAATTTAGGCACAAATGTGGACCAATCACAAGCCAGCTCCCAGGGGGAGGGAAAATTCAGCTGAATGTTAATGTAATAAATAATATGGACCCGGTGCAATAGGAAACGAGAGGAGTAGAAAGAAGCAAAGAAAATTAAGCATGGGCAGTGTGCGAATAAGGGAAATTATAATATAGGAAAGGAAGCAGGGAGCGAGAAAGACATGTTCATGGTTGACGACAGAAAATAAGAGCGGGGATAGCTATACATGGCATTTCAGAAGGAAAGGCATCATGAGATGGGGCAGAATGGCTAAAGGAGGGAGGAAAGAGGAAGTAGTATTAGTAGAAAGAATCACAGAGTTGGAATCATAGAGTTGGAAGGAACCCACGAGTGTCCTCTAACCCAATCCTCTGCATTGCAGGAATCTTTTTGCCCAACGTGGGGCTCGAACCCATGACCCTGAGATGAAGAGTTTCATGCTCTACCAACAGAGCTATCAGGTGGTGGAGGAGCTCCTACTCTCCCAGTGCCAACTCAGTGTCTAGACCTGCATCACATGCCCTTTAGGCTGAGAGCCAAGGTGGTCATACTTGACTTAACTTTTGCATTCAGTCTATGGGGGGGGGGGGGATAGTCTCAGAGTACGCCCAGTTCCTGGAAATGTTCTGGGAAAATGACATTTATGACCAGTCAACAATAAGTTGTTAGTGGCAAAGAGCCATTTCCAAATGCATCCAAAATATTAGCTAATTTAAGAAAGATAAAGTATCAGAATGGTTGCGTAATTTTTCTTGCATTTCCTTAAGATATCAGCACAAACCAGCAAATTACAGTAATACTTGAAGGAAAGAATGTTGTAATGCACAGAGGAACAGACACTCTTCTCAAAACAATTTTTTGGAACAGCCATAAACTGAGTCATGGTCCAAAGCACACTTCCTGAGAAGCAATGCTCCCTGAAACCAGTGAAGCTCACTTCCAGGTCATGCAAGTGCACTTAGGATCGGGATGCCAGCGCCCATTCCAAAGAACAGGAAACTTGCTAAATCAAGGAACTCAATAGTCGTATGTCACACAACTTTTGGACAAGATGTGACTCCAGAGATTTGCAAGTGAAACCAGATGAGATTAATTAAATACACAAACATGCAAATTTGGAGACAAAGCTCAACATTAACAAAACATTGGTTTTGCCTAACCCCTCCATTTATGTGGCTTGCAACCATACTTAATACACCCTATAGCCAGAATCCTAGAAACGCTGCTATTACTAGTAACTGCCTTCATGTTGTACAACCAAAATTCAATTGCCTTAAGATTTTAACTCAAAAGCAAACTAATTGTGCTCCTAATATACTTTAGAAATGCTGTGTCTAATACAAAAAGCTGCTGTGCCACTGGCACTGGAAGACAGCATGCTTTTTGTGATAAGGTATACCAATACTTCTTTCTTAACTGTTACCTTATACCTTACAGAGCATGAGCTAGAATTTTCCCTCAGATATAAACTCATGAGAGGACCTTGGGCAATCCACTGTCTCTTAAAGCTTCCCCCATCTGTGCAATGGGGGAATTAAAAATGGCTCATGTGAGGCGGCTGTTGTGTTCCGAACACTTTGGGGAAATGGCATATGAATACCAAGTATCTTTAGATTCTACACTATGCTAACATCATGGGTGCTAGCAAGGAAGTAGTGAGCTTCCCACTGTCCCAATGTGCTTTAGCAAAAACCAGCTTATGGTGTCTGGAGCAAGATAGTACTTTCTTCTCTTGTGGGAAGACGATAGCACTTGGGATCCTAGCACTGAAATCCATGTTTTTTTAAACCTCTTTATTATTTTTGAAGCACCATAAATAGCCAACATGAACTTGGGGTTACCTTAGGGCCCCAAAGAGCCCACAACATTCCTGAGAGCAGCTCTGTTTTCTCCACTCCTTGTTGCTGTTCTTCTGGGGGAGAAACACAATTCAGGGGTACAGCATCTGCCTTGTATGCAGAAACTCCCAGGTTCAATACCTGATGTCTCCAGGTTGGGTTGGGAATGCCTCCTGTCTGAAACCCTGGAGAGCCATTGGTAGTCATGTGCAGGCAAGACTGAGCTTGGTCTGACTCAGAATATGGCAGCTATTCTTACTGCCAGAACTAGAACTTTTGTTTCTGGCAGGAACTCGGCATTTGGGGTGAGCAGGCTTTTGTTCTTCACTAAGAGACCCAGGGGCTTTGGGCACCTAAAACCAGCCCACCAAACTACATAAAAATAAAGAAATGTTTGGTACTTTGGGTCAAGAACAAACAAGGGTGGGAGAGACCCAATACAGTCATTCCATTCATTATATGATTACATTAAAAAGCTAAACTGGCAAGTTTAATTTAGGAACAAGAGAGGAAAGCAAAGTCAGAAGATGAATTAAAATTCAGGGAGTTCTTTCCTCATAGCCCTGTGCTCTGACCACCATCCCACATCTCTAGTGTCTAATCTTTCCATTTCCTCCTGTTAGCCTTGTATCTGCACAACAGTAATTTCCTGGCTGATGTAAAACTCAATGAGTTCCAGTTTCTGCTGCTACAAATGAAATCACTTGCTCCTTTTCTGGCCTAGAATCAATCTAGTCATGAGATAGAAAAGGAAGGCGCTTAACTCTCTCCCTCTCTCTCTCGCACCACAAATGGGAGATGGCATTTCTGCTCAATAATTGAAGCTCCATCATTAAAAATAAACAGTCTCCTTATAAATGCTCACTGCAAGCAAGAGTAAACCAGATCAAGGCCATTTCATTAGGCTGGAGGGTAAGCGGTCAGAAGGCAGACAAATCTAGCCTCGGAATTCAGCCTAGGTATGTACTGAATGAGGCTTAAGGCTAAGGAATGCAAGCAGAAACCTCTATGATTGCTGTAACAAAGACTGGTTGGCAACACGTAGAGCAATCCTATACAGGTTTACTCAGATGCAAATCTTATGGAGTTCAGTAAGATGTACTGAAATGTGCACAAAAATTTCAAGACCTCCGATTATCTTCCACACATTGGCTTTTCTAGTTATTGGAAGCAGAAGTGAGCCTCAAATTCAGGTTGGAAATTTACATGTAAGGCAAATTTATATCTGTTCACCGAAGGATCTTTGTGGACTAAGTCAGGACTACTGGAGTTTACAGAAAGGCTCTCTCTCTCACACACACACACACTTAAAATGATGAATGGTGGAACAGCCCATAAGTTCCAGGTTCATCATATGTTAACATTATCATTCAATTGCAAGTCAAACTTTACATACTGATTCAGAAGGAAGTTCCACTGAGTTCAATGCGGCTTCTGCCCAGGTAAGTGGATGGCAGGATTACAACATTAGGCTGCTGTCCAAACGCCACTGAACTCAGTGGAGTTTCCTTCAAAGTCATTATACACAGGGATAAACTGTTGAGTTATTTGGGCACCAAAGCAGCTGGTCAAAACAAACAAACTGTAAGAGTTTATTCGAAATTAAAAACCTCTTATAGGTTCATTTAGATTTACATCCAGAGTGTGCATGTGGACCTTTGAAACTTCAAACAAAATCTTAAAGACTGCGGTGTCAATTGAAGAGGTATTGGTGCTTGTAACCTCAAAATCCACTTGTTGCCCACTTACGGTGCAGAAGATACTAGGTCCTAAGCCTAAGGCAATTGTTGTAGATACTCATAAAACCTAGAAAAGAATAACTGCAGGGGAAGTTCAGATATATGAACTCTAACATATTTTTTCAAGACTAAAATAAAACAATACATTATATTATAAAATATGATGTTGCTACAAGCTGTTCTCATTACCTAAATAAAAAGTGTAATAATAAACCATAATAAGAATAGGAACTTACATAGTTGTAAGAGACTCTAAAAGACAAGCAGTAAAAGAGATGCTTATCTGAATCAGTCTAGCTCATATTCATGTCTATAAAACTTAATTCAAATAACTGCTTTTGCTGGAATTTATTCAATTTTTGAGTTTAAAAAAGAAAGAAATCCAAATGCTTGGCTACATGATACATCTAACTTTCCTTTCATGGTTGCTGCATTCTTATGAAAAAGAACTGAAAGTCAAAGTAAGTTATTTCATCCATTTAAGAAGCTGGTTATTTATTAATAAATCACATTCATTTTTCATGCTTGCACAAATAAATACAGCTTGGGACACAGAACAACATGATAACCCTATATCAAATATCAAGAATGTGCACTATTGTGAAAAATTCCATATTCCAATCACCCAAGCATTTAACTTAAAGTTTTAGAACAGCTTCCCTTCGTTCCTAAGGTGGCTGGAATGTAAATGAAGAAATTAAGACTCTCACATGACAGTTATATCATGTCATAATATTAATTTCTTTCTTTAAATACATTTCCAGCTACCGTATAAAAGGAAACATGTAGAGAAATAACAACCTTTCATTTCTCTGTCAATTGAGAACTACATTTGTCAACCTTTCCATCTCTTAAGCTTCTTCACTGGAGCAGAGGGGAAGGGGGGCCAAATAAAGAAATGGCTCATTTTGATATGGCTGCAACTTCAAAATGAACTCAATAAGTGTGCAATTGCAGACAGATTAGATTATTTTAAAAAGTCAATTCCGCATGTCAACTTCCCTTTAGAGCTTTTTGGAAAATTCACAAAGTTCTACGGGAACATGAATATGTGTGACAATCTCTTTGCCTGTCTCTTCGTTTTATTTCTGCACTTGACGAACTTTGGCTACAACTGTCTAAATCAGGGGGGAGGAACCTCGGGCTCAGGGGCCAAATATGTCCCTCCAAGTCTCTCTATCCAGCCCTTGGGAACTTCTTCCCTGTCAGTATCCATTCCAGACAATTTGGTCCACAATCCACAGCCATGCCACATTTTACCTTGTCTACCAACAGGAAGCCTATCTGAAGAGCCATTGATAAGACAGGCGTTAAAACCAGAGATATCCAAATTGCAATAATACTCTCAAGGCCTTGCAAGTCTACATAACTGCTTTGGCAGGATGGGTACCACAACTAATCCTGTTGTTTCATCTACCCCAGCCAATTCTCAGCTTTGTAACTTGAAGCGAGGGCCCATTCCAGAAGTTGTTAGACTCAACCCAAGTAAGCATGGACAATGGTTAGGGATGAGGGAAGCTGAATTACAACAACATCTGGAGGGCCACAGGTTGCCTACCCCTGATTTAATGGAAATTTCAGTAGGATCCCCTCAAGTAATCTTGAAACAGGGGAGCTCATAGGGAAACAAAGTACAAGTCTTCAGGGACAAGGATAATTCTGACATTTTGAAGTTCCGCAAACATAGTTGTTTTCCAGCTGCTTGGGCCCTTTCACCTTTTTATATTATGCCTTGTTAAATTTGGGATATCATAGATATATATGCAAGTTAAAAGGATAACTCAATTATGACCGGATAAGTCTTTTATGATGGAGAGATTTTATATTATTTGGTTATGTTTAAGTATTATATTTTGGAAGGGAAATACATCGCCCCTCCTTTTTTTAATGCTGGCTCCTGAATAATACTGCATCACCTATTCTTCCACTATAAATTGATTTTACATAAGCTCTTCCCCCCCTTTCAAAAACAGATGTATTTTAAGACACAAAAGGAGCTACTTTTTATTCCCACTAGATCTTTTTAATTCCATCATACTCTTTTTCTTAACTAAATGGGAAAATGTTTCCAACATGCTGAGGATATCCCCTCTTGTTCCCGAATGGATTTTTCTGGAAAAAGAAAGACGACAAAAGCCTTCCAGGAATACTCCCGGTTTTATACCAAATTAAAACCACAGCTGTGTCAAGCTGTTTTTTCAACACAAGCAGGATGTGCTGAGATTTCCACCTCAGTCCTAGAGTAAATTTGCTTGTCTGTGTCGGTTGCTTCCATGTAATGTATATGGAATTTATTTTAGACCCGGATGCTAAGTATTTGCACCAGCAATATGAGCAAGCTTATCTGTTTGCAATAAGAGCGTCATGTTGCCGTAGTGTCAGCTATGCAGAGTATGCTTCATAAAGCTGGATCCAAACAGCAATTGAATATTATTATTATAATTGCTACTACTACTATTACCACTACAATGTGTTACCCGTCCTTTACCCTAAGGTGCCAGGACAGATTAATTAAAATGCAACATTAACATTAAAGCACAATATTATACACTATTAAAAACAGTTTAAAACAAATTACAGAAATAAGGTGGGACCTAAAAATATACTTCTCAGGTATCAAAAGCCAGGGTGAACAGGTGCATCTTCAGCATTCACCAAAAGCTGTAGAATGAAGGTCCAGACACACCTCTGTGGGAAGGGCAATGGAGGAACCGGAGTGCACCCTCTGCCAATCTTAGCACCCTAGAGGGTCGGTAGGGAAGGAGACAATCTTTCACGTATTGGAGGCCTAAGTCATTTAGGACTTTAAACACTAACATGAGACACAATAGCTCTTACAGCATTCTGTACATAGTACTCCATTCAGTATACAGCGCAACAAGAGAGTATGGTAAGGAAACAAACAAACAAACATAATACACCCAGGCCTTTCTCAAATTATCTCAGGCTTCAGATCCTTCTCCGTCTTTCACTGGAGGAGACACCCACCATAGTGCTGCACTGGGAAACGCAGCAAACTACTACAGGTGGCCACTTCTCTCATTGTGATTTTGTTGCAAGATTTTGTTGGGCTTCAAATCCCATGAGGCCCAGCCAGCATGACCAATGATTCAGGATGGTGGAGTTGTGGTCCATCATCGTCTGCAGGGACCCATCCTTTCCTTACTAGCCACGAGGGAAATATGTGGGAAGCATCTGCACTGCCAAAGGCTGCAGGGATTTGCTGTGAGTACACAAAGCAAAGCTGCTCTCTTGCAACCTTCTAGATCACCACGATGAGTAGCAATGCTTAGGTCTCTTCATGGTGGTAAACCTACGCTTGGGTTGCAGTATGACTTCATGACTGCAGGAGAGAGCCTCATATATTACGGGGGGAGTGCAGTGGTACCTCGGGTTAAGAACTTAATTCGTTCC